TGGCCATGTCTAGCAAAGACACCTTGATGCAGGAAGGGAATGCGATGGAATACTGGGTGTATGCTATGTGAATTTGCGGATATCTAGGTAGAGATGGCGGTGGTTTCGTTGACGGGTCGGCCGGGTGATGATGGATGGATGGTTGGGCGAATGGGCTGCAGGGATTGATTTTTTGTTTAATCACTTGGGAGAATTGCTGTATGCCGGGCATGGAATCGACAACCCTCTATTTACAGTTAGTTTCCAGGATGACAGGGGTTGGATATATATCTGTGTTGCGCGCGGTAGAGATGCGGTATTAATTTTCTGGGATATACAGAGTTGCTCAGTCTGCATGGTGTATTTAAACAGACGTTCCCGCTTCCCACCCAAAAAATTTCTCTACATAGTCAATGGAAACCTGCGTCCGGTGCAAGAAAAAGTACAAAGTATGCATCATGCTGCTGTTCCCATTAATCAGTGGATTTCTCTGTTTCCCCCCAAGGCATCTTGTTCAAGATGCAGCAATCTCTTGACTAACATTGTTGATTTTAATATGACAGTGATTGAATTGTGAAAGCTGTTATATATTAACACTACGGAAAACAAATATATTTAAACACAATCCACACATCAATGCCCCCGCCTTGCAAATTATAATTAAATAGACCTATGTGATAACGGGCCATGTTAATTTGAGGGGTGGAGAACAGTTATATATTACATTTTCGGACAAGTAAACGTAACATTCCCGATTCCGTTTTACTTTGTCTAAAACACGACTTCCACAATGATTTTAAACTTTTGACCTTCTTCTGATCAATGAAAAATTGGGGAATAGAGCCATTGCCGAGTCACATACAAGTTGATTCCGAACTCCTGCCTTGACCGGTAGTGGACGGTAGAGACCATTGGAGATTAACTAGTTTAACTAACCAACTATAACTTAACACCGCCTGCTGAGTCATCCCAAATCGCATCTTATCTTATCTCCACGTGAGGCTAACTATCGCGGTTCCAACGGGATTGGCCCGCGTTGCCTGTGTAGGTGTTGTCCCAAGGGGCGCGTGTTTCTGCCGCCAATTGATTTTATACGCGAACCAGCCCTTCGACTGGCCCCGTCGAGCTGGCAGAAACTTGAACCATCCGATCGCCGCACAATATCTCCTCCACCACTGACTGCTACCTCCTGCTGGCCAAGTCAATGGGCTGGCCTGGTTTTTCTATTGGCCGCTGTCCCTTGTATCTTCTAGAATAGTTATCTCATGTGTTATCGATAATATATATATTTTTCCCCTTTCTGTTTGGCTTCTCTCGAAAACGCTTTGTTATAGGTAATAATTTTCGCCATTTAAAACCTCACAGTCCACCGGGCTCGGAGCCATTCCATCATGGTGGACCTTGTTCCTGATACGCCTCTTCGCAATCAGAGGGCCGATCGGTCCTCCCATCCTCTAGCTTCCGATGCTGAGTATAATGATCGAGGAAGCTTGGACTTGGAGGAGACGGTGGCAACGGTGCCTGTGCAGAGACACCCTCTTCCCACGCAAGCATTCACTCTCACCACACAACAATTCACCCAAAAACCCACCCAGCCCACACAGATAATCGAACGAAACTCTAACCACCTGCTGTCTCCCCTTGCGCATACTTCTTCTGTCGTTCAGGTTGCCACATCCTCACCCCCCGCCCCTAAGAACACCCATTCTCGCCCCTACTATACACCTCGTGCCGGCGTCTTGTCAAATTCCATGGCCCCTATTGGAACTCACTACCGCCCTCCAACAATGGCAGGAGTTCCAATTAAAAGAGCCCCTGTGATTGACCTCGACGATGATGGCCCAACTTACCGCGGTGGCTCTTCTGACGACGATGATATCCAATTTGTTGGGACTACAGATATCAAGCGATCAACGTTCGCAAAGAACTCCAGGAGCACGAACAAAGAGCGCATTCCGGAGTCCCCAGCTGCTCCGAATGATCCTGTGAAAAGGTTCAAGGAGATTACTGCCTCCGCTTTTTTCAATCCGTCAACATATCAGAATGGGAAGGCGCCCGCAAAACGATCGGTAGACAGAATGTCCTCCGCGGCTGTGAAACAGGTCGACATCTCTTAAAAGGCCCCGTCAAGAAAATGCGTTCACACTAGACGACATCGAAGATTACCAGACCAGAGTTAAAGTTCAGCGCATATTAAATGTCTTTCCAAACAGATCTATCCGGTTTATTCTGGACATTCTTGTATCCAACAGAGGGCACTACGAAGATTCTCTAGATCACATCGCCAAACTTGACGATGATAGCATATCTTCCGATCGAGTTTCGGATGACGAGCTAAGTCTGGACTCCAGTAATCTCCGAGTGGAGCAAGCGAAACAACAAATCAGAGCAGGAACCCGAATTCAAGATAAGTGGACTTCGAGCCAGAGACTCCCAACCCAGAAGGCAGGCGTTGAAAGAGACTCCTCAGCACCCCGTAGACGGCTGATAAGGGGCTCGAAAACACGTTCATCATCTCCTCCATCCAGACCGTCTCCTGCTCCGCCCGTCAAGAAACCTGGTAGACGCATAAGG